TCATGTGCTACATATAGTACCTCATTGGGTACTACATGTTGGTGCAGAATGAAGACGCTGCAGCGTTTAGTCGGGTCCACACAGACTTTATTAGGTATTTCATGTGTTAGATCGGTCCAACAGGAAATAGAAAATCCTCCACATTGGACATTAACTGGGCGGCTTTAAACGGCCGTTTGCGTCAGGACGGATTCTAATTGGTTACAGTGAGCAACGGTATGTGGGGGAGAGGGGGGTAGTGGGAGGTGTTTCACAGGTCAGAGGTTACAGTTCACTTCTGATCTGGTATGATGTCATCGATGCTCTCTCCAGCCTCCAGACGTTTCTCCATGTCCACCAGCAGGTTGACACCATCCACCACCATCTGCACCAGCTCCACCTCGGAAAAGCCCAGACGGTCAGCGTTGGAAATATCAAAGACTCCACCCACCGCTGCTGTGTCCACGCCCCCTGACAGACACAGACAGGAAGTGATGTCACAGGTACTTCTTCAACTCATCAGGGAGAAGCCTCTTCAGGCTGACCCGGTGTGTGATGTCATCATGTCCACTGTCTCCCCACCTGTCTGTGAGCTTACCTGTGCCCCTCTTCTGCAGCCTCAGCCTCTTCAGGATCTCTCCGAACTTCTCGTGCTTGCTGACGTTTGGCAGCTTGACATGGACTCCGGCCCTCAGTCCCGTCCCCAGGTTGGAAGGACAGGTGAGGACATAGCCCAGGTGTTCGTTCCACATGAACTCGTGACCTCGTTCCTTAAACAAGCCCTCGATCTGCCCGAGAGAGAGGGAGACAGGTGGTCAGGTGATGAGCAATGGTGATGTCATTGCTATAGAAAGAGGGAAATGGGCGTGCAGGTGTCCACCTTGGTGAGTCCAGTGCAGAAGCGGTTGAACACCTCCTTCATGTTTCCTCCTTTCTGCATGCTGATGACCCGCAGGTGATCCTCTTCGTTCACCCAAACCAAGAAGGTCTTGTTGTCGTTGTGCCTGCAGGCGAAAGACAGCGGTTACAATGGGACAGGAAGAGAGTCACCCGTCCAGGTGCCTTCGGTACTGACCAGATGCCGCGGCCATCGGGCCAGTCGCGGGCCATGCCAGAGGCGAGCAGCAGGGGGGAGACAGGCTTATCAAACAGGAAGTGGTCATCGATTAGCTGCTGCTGCTCCTCCTCGGTCATGTTCTTCAGAGCGTAGTACTTCCCCTTTAAGTCCCCATCCAGCACATCCAGACCTGCAGGGGGTTAGAGGTCACAGGGGAAGCTCAGATGAGTCCAGGTGTTCAAATTAAAGTTCAGACATTTACTAAAATACAACATCAGGCCAAGAATATAGATAGGAATGGCATCATGAAAACTAATATTAATGTTATTATTCATTTCCATAAATGTATACCCCAGTAGGGGTCAGAGAGAGTGCTCGTCTCAGCGGATCCAGTTTAGGACTGGACTAGGTGGTCTTTGGCCTTATAATGTGAAGGATGTCTCACGGCCTGAGAGTCCGAGTTGTACAACACTTTGATCTGCTCAGTGACAATCACTGATGCATCCAAATAAAGAGCACATCTGGATAAGAGTAGATGGGTTACGAGTTTATCCCACTAATTCATCTCGTCAGAGAGCTGATCCACAGTCAGTTCCTGTTAACTCAGTCAGCTTATTGGCTTTCAACATCACATGATAACAAAGAGTGAGAAGAGTGACAAGTGAGAACAAGGAGAAAAGAAATGAGTTAGAAGAGCAACAGGAGCAAGAAGATGGAGCTTTAATACATACATATTTATATATACACACAACTTTGTAGCTCATGACACACAGCAGAACATAGTAAGTGATGTCATACTTTCCAAGGACAGGTTCTCAATGGCGCGGCGTTCTCCTCGGCTGCAGTGAGGAGGCAGACAGAAGCCGCGGATGCTGCGACCTGTCCGGACACGAGAGCTTAGGACGTAGTCTGGATCCAGATCATCTCCTCCCTGAAACAAGGTGAACCAGCATATCAAAAATCAGGAGCTTCCTGTCTCAAAGTTATGCAGAAAAAAAAATTGTTCATGCGTTTGTTACTTCCAGACTTTACTACTGTAATTCTTTGTTATCAGGCTGCTCTTGTAAATCTCTTAAGCCTCTCCAGTTGATTCTGAATGCTGCAGCACGTGTATTAACAAGAACTAAGAAAAGGGATCATATCACTCCTGTATTAACTTCTCTGCACTGGCTCCCTGTTAAATCAAGAATAGATTTTAAGGTACTTCTCCTCACCTACAAGGCACTTGCTGGTGAGGAACCGTTGTATCTTAAAGAGCTTGTAACACCTTATTGCCCTACAAGGCAACTGTGCTCCATAGATGCTGGTTACTTGTTGTTCCTATGGTTTTAAAAAGTAGGCTGGGGGCCAGAGCCCTAAGTTATCAAGCTCCTCTTTTGTGGAACAGGTTCACTTTCAGTCTCGGGGGGCAGATTCGGTCAGCTCTTTTCAGATAAAGCTTTCCTCTTTGATACCACTTAGTTAGGGCTGGCTCAGGTTAGCCTGGACCAGCCCTTAGTTAAGCTGCTATAGGCCTAAACTGGGGTGCACACAGAGTCTCTCGCTCACTCTCTCAGATAAAATA